ATGCATTTTAACTGGCTCTCTCATATGGGTCTCACACCACAGAGCTTTGAGAGCCCCTGCTGCAGCCACAGCATCATCTCTCCTTTGCTTTTTTCCAAGGGAAGACTCTAAGGAATAGCAAGTCCATGTTTTTATTTATTTATTTATTATTTTTATTATTATTTTTTTTTGAGACAGCCTTACTCTGTCACCCGGGATAGAGTGCTATGGCATCATAGCTCACAGCAACCTCAAACTCCTAGCCTCAAGAGATCTTCCGGCCTCAGCCTACTGAGTAGCTGGGACTATAGGTGCCTGTCTCAATGCCTGGCTTTTTTCTATTTTTAGTAGAGGTGGGGTATCACTCTTGCTCAGGCTGGTCTCAGACTTCTGAGCTCAGGCAATATACTAGTCTCAGCTTCCCAGAGTGCTAGGGTTACAGATGTGAGCCACCATACCCAGCCTCCTATTTTATTAAAAATAAAATGTTATGAAACTAATGGGGGAATTCTCAAGCTTCATTTTAGAGAAGCCAATTCTGGTGTGACAAAGGAAATGTTTCGGGCACTGAACTTCAGCAAGTCATTGTTGCACACTATCATTTGAAGGCTTAAGCTCAGCTCCTCTCATACTCAGGCCAACCTGCTTGTCATCAACCTGAGGTTCCATAAAGGCACACTTTTGGACTACCCTCTTTTATAGGTTTTTAAACTCTCTGTTCCTTAGTGAAGACTCTGTGCGCTTCCACCTCTCAGGCCAGCCCTCCTCCTCTACCCTCTCCTGGGTATGGCCCTGGCCTTCCCCTCCTTTCTGGCTCTGCCCTGTTGCAGGGGTTCTGGTCTTCTCTGTTTATCTTCCTGTTACCCCCAAGCTCCATTCTCAGCATGAACCATCTCCCAGGCTCCAGACCTCTGTTGGCTACCTGTTGGACATCTCCATCCACATGTTCCATGGGCTCCTCACTTAACAATTCCTAATTGTCCAAATCATTCCCTGTCTCTTAAATGTGACTTTTCTCTTAAAGTCCTGGCTAAAGGCACCTGGTTCCCCATATCACCATCCTGAGAGCCAGCTCTGTCCTTCATCCCCAATATCCAACAGGCCATAAGGCCAGGCAAGCTTACCTCCTAAACCACCACCCTGCTCTGGCCCTATTATCACTAGCATGCAGACTTTAGCAAGTTTCTTTAGTTCGTTACAGTTGGGGCCTCCACCTGAGCCACCATCTTCCTCCTGAGGCAAGAGAACACTCCTACTCTCAATGCCTCTGGCCCTCCTCATCCCCTGCAGTTGTGTCCAGCTGTGCGCATGGGCCAGCAAGCCCTATCACCTGGCTCTTCTCACTCCCTCAAAACCAGACTCCTTCCTCTGGTCAGGAAGAGAGTGACTGCAGGGCCTGTGCACATGTGCATATCTTAGCCTGAAACATCTATATGGGCCTGGAAATCACCTCTTACAGGAAGATGCAACTCAAGTAAGTCATCCTATGTGAAACCTGCTGTTATTCCCTTCCCACCAGCAAAATGAATCAGGCTGACACCCTGACCCCTCATGAGACCTTTCACTATTCGCAACATCTGTTCACATGTTTCTCTTCCCTATTCATTATGGGGTTTGCTTCTTGAAGTGTCCCCAACACAGTGCCTGGCTCTAAGTGTAGACGTTGGCCAGATGACTGAACAAGTATGTCTTATACATACCAGTGGAAGGATGGACAAGAGACGGAGTGGAGGGAAGATCCAGGAAGGGCATGACCGTAAAAGTCCAGGCAAAAGGCTGGGGGGCCTGGGTTAGGGTGACAAGGATGACAACAACGACAACAGTAACAACAATAATATCCAGCAAGAATAAGACCCAACATTTAGCCTCTACTATGACATTCTTCTAAGAGCTTTATGCATTTTAATTCATTTAATCTTCACAGCAACTCTATGAGGTAGACACTGTCACTATTTTAATTTCCATTTTATAGATGAAAAACAAAGGCAGAGAAGGTTTAAACAAACAACTTAGAGCACAGAAAGGAAGCTAAATGTGATATAGTGCAATTAAAATCTCCAGAACTAGAGGTCTGCTCAGATGGGCATGGAGAGGGGAAGATGTCAGAGGTAACTCTGTGTGATGGCACGGCCAGCCACACCATCCACCTAGACATGCCATTAACCCAGTCAAGGGCACAGGGAACAGTATTCCCTGGGATTTGTTTTGTTTCCTCTTAGGGGACAGGGTTGTATGGTGGGAGAGAGGGTGATTTCTATTTGGGGCTTGTTTGAAGCATCTGCAAGGCATCCTGGCTCATATAACCATGTGCCCAGACCATGCTTGGCACTGCACCATCTGTTCTACTCTTCCCTAGCACCCCCGATATAATATCACCTCTATTTTCAGGCCCTGGAACTGAGGTTCAGAAAGACCCAATAACTTCAGGTTAAAACTCAGACTTCCAAAGTGACAAAGCCAAGATTCAAACTCAGGTCTGTCCAACTCAAATTTTGCTCTATCCAAGAGGCCTGTAGTTCCCAAATCTGATTAATCATTAATCAATTCTTATGAGAAATTTTTTTAAATGCATATTTCTCATGTCCCCAAACTACTAAATCTGAACCAGATCTACCAAGGTGCAGGGCTCAGCATGGTTTAAGTTCTGCAGGTGGCTGCAATGATAGGCAGGTGGGAGGTGCCGCTGCACAGGCCTCTCTAATGCAGGAAATACTGGTCCAGACCTTCAGAAAGAGCTTAGAGCTGCCAATGAGCTCACCAGGAGGGAGAGTACAGAAAAAGAATGTCAAGAGGACCCAGAATAGAAATCTGGTAAAAATTCCTATAGAAGCAAAAAGAGAAGCTAGAAGCAGCAAAGGGTGATAATATTTCAGAAAGGGAGCATTTAACCACATAGGAAGCTGCAGGGAACCCCAAAGGAGAACGCCCAAATCTGACCACTCATGTCGTTATCTCCATGGAGCAGATTAAGAATCTCATCTGTCAGCTGAGGTGAGCTTTTGTTTATCTGGATCTTGAGGATTTTTCTAACACCACTGACTACCACCATTCAGTTGGTGGCATCACGGCCCCAGGCAAGGTATGACACTGTGGATGCAGAGAATGGGAGTTGGATCTGCAGCTCTACTGAAGTTTCATCACATATTATAAAATTCACTCCCTGTAAGTACACGATTCAGTGATTTTTAGAGAAATTTCACAGTTGTGCCACCACCACCACCACCACCTAGTTTTAGAACACCTCCATCACTCTGTGGTCTGATTTTTAAAAATCCCTGTCCCTCCTACATCATCAGGACCTAGCAGCCCCACTCCAGCTCCAGGGTGAGCCCACAGTGACTTCTGTGCTCTCTCACCAGCCCCTCTGACTCCAGGAGGTACAGGGCTGACAGGTCACGGCCAGCCCAAGGCTTCCCTCTGGATCTGCTGCTCCTCCTCCTGGAGACGATGGGTTGAGGGGGCTATTGTGTGGCCATCCTTGGGGCCGACGTCAAACAAACTCCTCTGCCCACTTTTGCTACTGTTTGGGCCTAGGGTAGCCCAAAGCTTCACTGGCTTAGGAACAAGACATGGATTCCGTTTGCAGCCAGAACCCCCTTTCAAAAGGAGCAGACTTAGTGCTAAGCTGCAGGGAGACAGGGAAGACTATAGTAGAGGGAGGTGCACACACAGGGAAGAAACAGGACTAATGGGAAGAGGTCCTGCTTTGCAGAGAAGTTTTTCTGTGTATTTATTCTGATATGGTAAACATTTCTTGCCCGTTAAGGAGACAAAGTCACACCTCAGATGGCCTCATGGTCTGCAGCTAATACTCTACCCACTGACTACATCATTGCTTGGTGCTCACATCCCAGCTTCTGAAACTTTTGGACCTTGTCCCCAACATGCAGCCAGCCCCAAGCCATAAGACACAGTAGCCTTGCCTGTACTGGACACCTTACCTGCTATAGATCTAAATAAATAGCTAAGTATAAAACTGGGAAAATGGCAGAGAAGTTTAAAATGTACATCAGATTTATTTGCTGAAAGGGCCAGAGGAAATGTCAAAGGTTACAAAACACAAGAACTACCCCGTGATAGCATCAGCAGAGAAGGAGAATCCCATAATCACACAGTCTCATATTGCGAAGCATAGGAAGGTCTGACGATGGGGGGAAATGGTGGGTTTGGTGACCAGATATGTTTTGTGGAATCACGTGAAAAGCAATGGTGTCTCTACAATGGAGGGGGACAGAGCGATGGGATTTTCCTCCATGCCTGTAGCAGAGGCATCCCAGAGTGCCCCGATTTTGCCAGCTGCATTCCAGAACTCTTTTCCTCACATGCCCAGACGGAGCAGAGGCCTTTGTAATGACTTCACACTCAGCCAAAAGTAAATACACTCTCCACTTTTTCCATGGACAAATTCTAACCCCAAATTGCCAGCATTGGCCTCTCAACAATCCAAATGGAAAGCCGCCTTTCCCAAGAAAATAAAGCCTTTTTAACTCAATAATATAGCTTGGCTACAAAAGCAAACTTTCCTCAAAGCTTCCTAGAAATTATTTATTGTGCAGTGACACTACAGATCAGCTGAGCAAACCTGACCAATGGAACAAAGGCATTTCAAATAAATACAAAAAAAAAAAAAAAAAAAGATCCAAGAATAAATGCCTGCTCCAGCAAACACCTGTACTCGAAACTCAGGCTGCACATTTTGTAACACTCACAGGATCTGCTATTCAAAACACACACACCCACACAACCACACGCACATGCGTGCACACACACACACACATACACATACACACCCGGAACGCACCACCACCTAATTGGAATATTCTTTTGGAAAACAGGATGATAAGACAGGTGCTGATCTGAATAAAGAGCAAAACAGCACTCAGGATCTGAGCTCTGCAGGGCTGCTGTACATGCCAAACACACATCTCACTGCTCTTCCACATTCCAACTTGAATCCACGTGATTCAAGCCCAGTTCTCCATCGAATAGGAAAAGCAGAGGCTCAAGGATGGTGGACTTACCAGGTTGGAATTGGTGGCGTTGGAATCATCTTCTGGAAAGGGAATATAGATCGCTAAGGCCACACAATTGGCAAAAATAGTCAGTAAAATAATTATTTCAAATGGTCTGAGGAAGAGAGTTAAGGAAGTTAATGACACAGAAAGCACAAGTGAAACAAATATATATCTATGTACTTTTTAAAAACGAATCAAAGATTCATAAGAATTTTGTTTAAACAACACATTCCAAGCCCCTTGTATTCTGAAAAGAAACATATGCCTTTTTAAGTGCTCCTCGTGGGTCCCTGCCAAAATTTTCCCTAATATGTCAAAAGCAGTGGAGGCCAGTCGCGTGCCAGAGTAAACACAGATTTCTAAAACTTTTTTCCCTTTCTTTTATTTATTTAGATTGCATTTGACTTCATTCTCCCTTATGTGTGTTAGGGTTGCTTCTAAAGAGCAGTGCCTGCCCCAGGCACCCCATTTCCCCATGGCAACCCATGCCCACCCAGGAAGGGAGAGAGGGTAGAACAGGATCTAAGACAGGGCCACTGTTTGTGTTTCTCATTGAAATTTGAAGGTTTTATTTTTAATCTTTTGAAGTAAAATTAAGAATTTTTTTTCTTTTCCCTCATTCTCCGACAGCTTCCAGAGACCCCAAAGCCTGGCTGGGAAGCTCAGGACCCCCAAGAGCGTGGCAGGATGTTTGCTGTGTATCTATAGAAGGGCAGCCATCTCCCCTGCAGGCTCAACGTCGTGTGGGCATGTAGCCCCTGTGGTCTGTGGAAGCCCTGCCGTCAGCAGGCAAGGCTGACATTCCAGGTCCTCTCCACTTTTCCATTGCTATGTGCGGGGCTCTAGGAGGCCAGCCCAAGGCTTACTCCCCAGCAGCAGGGCATACTGAGGTTCCATGCTCTGATTTCTCCATCAAAACATCAGGGCAGGATACACTCTCATGAGAAAAATGAGCTAATGTGATAATACTTCTTCCAACAAGGCCCACCCCACACTCCCAACCGAAGGCCAAAAAGGGAAACCATCACAGAGACAGCCCACTCCTACCCACTGCACTGCCCAGTTCCCAGCCTGGAGAAGGAGAGGGGGAGGAAAAGGAGGAAGGATGGAAGAAATTCCTGGGTGAAGGAATGAACTTAACTCTCTCAGGGAAATCCATATTCCCAAAGTTAATGAATTCTGAGGTAGAATGAGACTTTAGAGATTATCTAGTCCAATGTTCTGAGGCCCAGAGAGCCCAGGAAACTTTCCCAAAGTCCCACAGCAGATGAATGACCAGCCAGGACTAGAACCCAGGTTTCCTGATCTTCAAGTCCAACATCCACTCCCTGCCATAGACGGCCTCCTGGCTCGTGTTCATTGGCATCCCACAGTTGCAGAACTGAGAGGGTGTGTAGAGATAATCTTAAGCAGTGGACCTTCCTCAGCCCTGTGGGTAGCCCTGAGGATCCATGTACCCAGCAGGGCTCACACAGGGGTCATTTCCTATGTTTCCCTCCATTTCAACAATGGTGACCCATCCATCCTCCCAACTTCACAGGTATGGAAAGTAAGACCACCTGCCCAAGGTCCCAAGTGCAAACAGCAGAGCCAGGACCACAAACCAGACCAACTGACTGGTCGCCTACATCTTTCACCTTGTGCTGGGCAAGAAGCCAGCAATGAAGATAGGAGGTTGACACTGACACTGGGGACAGTGACAGCAAGGCCAAAAGCTAACGTCTGCTGACAGCTTCAGGTTCTGTTCTCATTCCTCTACACAATACCCTCTCTCCACTATCTAAATCAGGAAATTGAGGCACAGAACAGTCAGATGTTAACCCATCCAAGGTCACACAGCCAGTGATAGGATGGGATCCAAACCCAGGCAGTCTGGCTCTGCAGTCTGAGTTTTTAAGGACTTTTCTACACTGATCTACTCTAGAGCAACCTGGAAGCATTTGTAGGGACTGCTTCTTTTGACCCTCCCGCTGTATCACCTCTTGTCTCCCAATCCCTTCAACTTGCTTAGGAGAGTGACATTCAGCCCAGAGGCTGGTGCTTTATGCTCTCTGCAGCAGGACAAGGGCACAAGAAGCCAACTGAGCCGGACCCCACACATATCGCTCCTCAGATGTCTTCTCGCTGCCTCCACCAGAGCAGTGTGGCTGCTAAGCTCAGGGTGTTTCTCCTGCTATCAGCTCCCCTCCTCCCATTCAGACTATCCATCCTTCATCTTATGCTAAAGTACCGGGCTAATGCCGGAGGAGATAAAGTGTAAAGAAACCACTCAGGCAGATAAGAAAAGCCATCAGTTGACAAGCAGAGGACCCAGGTAAGCCCTGGAAGCACTCTGCATCACCCTGGGAGGCCCAGATCGATTTTTAAGCTGCCTTCTCTTCTTAACTACAGCATCACATTCTACTTTGTCAAGAAAAACTGACTGCTAGTAACCAGTCTATCTCCATAGCTGCCCAGCCACCCTTCCTAAGCAATCTGGGAATGCCACCTAACACACACTGCAGGGCTGGGTCTATTCCCGCTCCTCCAGGAAAAAAAGCACATCCCCTAGGAGGAGTAGCCACAGCACTCAGGGAGTGGGTGCTCAGGCCCAGATCCAGGTCCTGCTGTATCCCCTGAACACCCACCCTAGTACTTACCTAGTTCTACCCTAGTTCTCCCTGGAACTACAGGCACAAGGGGTATGGAAAGTGCACGGATTCAAGGTTCAGGGGAATCTGAATTTGAAATCAGCTCTGTCAACTGCCATCTGTGCAATTTAGGACAAGTTCTTTGACTTCTCTGGGCCTCACAGCCCTCTCTCTGGGGGTGCCTGACCAGCAGGGTCCCCCAGGTCTCCCTCTCCCCAACTCTGATGTGAACAGTTATGCACACAGCCTGATGGGACTGAGCCAAGCTGAGCCTCTCTCCCAGTCACTCAGGGATCAAAACCACACTTGAACGCTCAGGACAGACTGGCCAGATGGCAGCCGCCACTTGTTTTGAATTGCATTCTGTTAAAGTTACTTTTGAGTTGAGGGACTCAAATGTTTCTAGAACTAGTATTTCTTGCTAAAAGGAAACTCAACTAGTACCTAAGACTTTTTAAATCTTTCCATATAAACTAATTAATGAAACCTAACACACCTATCTGAACCTAGAGAGGTATGAATTTTACAGCAAAGACGCTCAGAGTGCCAGGTTTCTAGTCCTATCTGTTACTGACCATGTCACCCCGGAGAGCCTCTCCCATGGGGCTCAATTTCATCACTGATAAAAGTTGGGGTGGGTCTGCAGATCTTTAAAGTCCTTTACAATCTCTACAAACCCATGATTCCTAAGATGCTAAGGACCTTGCAGTTCCACAGTGAGAGAGCCCAACCTCTCAAAGCCACTTTTTCTGAAGGACCCATTCGCTGGTTTCTTCTTTTTATTTTCTTTTTTTTTTTTCTTGTTCCATTTTTTTAAAGACAGGGTGTCACTCTGCCACCCAGGCTGGAGAGTGCAGTAGCTCAGCTTCAGCTCACTATTGCTGAACTCCTGGGTTCAAATGAGCCTCCCAAAGTGCTGGGATAACAGGTGTGAGCCACCATACTAGGCCTGGAGGGTTTTCAAAAGGGCCTGACAATCCCAGTTATCTACAGTCTGTTAAAACTCTCCAAGTGATTCTAATTTGCTGCCAAGACTGAGAGCCACTATTCCTATGCCCTTGAGCCAAGAGCCAGGGTCCTTGATGGCTGCTCAGTTACATCTCCTAGGCTCCTTCACCTATGAAACTATCCTAGTGCCACGACACAGGAGGGAAAGAAGGTTACGAAGTAGCACATAATGACAATTAACCCTACACGAATCCCTGCAAGCTCAGCTATGTGAGGTAAATTTCATAATTTCTGAGGCTTCCTGCTTATTATATGGGGGCAGAAAGGGCAGCTTGTTATACAAGCAGATTTCTGGGCCCTGTCCTATCCCCACAGATTCTGAGTCATCCAGTCTAGGGCAGGGCCTAGCACTCTACATTTCACAACATCCCACTGATACAGGTGTTTATGGCTCAGCACCACTGACACAACCTCAGAGGGCCGGCCCCAGGATGAAGGCCCCAGAAGCATCCTGCTTCACCCAGAGCACAAAGGATATTTCCACTCCACGATGCTGATGCACGCCCTCCGGATGGGGTTCTTCAGGGTCAGGCAGAGCAGGGCCCGGGGCGGGCGTGTGGCCGTCGTGCTGCCCTGCTTCTTGGGCTTCCCGTACTGCTGCCGCTTCCGCTGCGTAGAGCTGATTGTGCTGATGGTGGCGTTGCCAGCACTGCCCATCAGCTTGGCCTGCCGGGCCGCATCAATGGCCGCCTGCCAGGACAGGGCGGCCCCCGGGGTGGGGATGTGCTCGGGGGCCAGCCCTGCAGCCGCGTTGGCATTCATGTTGGCATGAGCAGGGCGTGGGCTCCCATAGTTGGAACCTGAAGCCAGAGAGGAAAACGGACAATAGTTACTAGAGAGGAAATGGGTGCACCTGTGACCACAGACTCAAACATTTTTTAAAAAGCCTATTTCTAAGAGTAGAACGTGAACGTTTTAAAACAATAACTGAGAAAATGACATGAAGGCTGTGTTGACCAGTTGGATGCAAGTATTTCGGATTACATGTGAAAACCCCACACTGTACTCCAGAAGTGCATCAATGTACATAGTTACCATTCAATAAAAAAAAAAAAAGCCTATTTCAAGCTATTGGAGGAGGTGGTGAGGTGGCACACGGAAACATCAGTGTGGGATGGTAAGAAAGCCAGGAAGGCTGTTCTGGTCCTGGCTTAGCAGGATGACCCTGGACATGTCACTCCCCTCTAGGCTCATCACCTCATCTTAGGCAGACAAGGTCTGTACAATACAGCAGGTATGGACCTCAGCAGCATGGTGCTGGAGAGAGGAGGATGCAGAAAAAGATAGACACGATGCATTCTCTGTGAATTAAGACGTAAAGGAAAGGATATTCATTAAGTAGAACAGAATGGTTATTTAAGGAATGGGGAGAGGGAAGATAGGGGGATAAGGGGCAATCAAATGAGTAAGTGAATAGAAGAGGTCATTTGCTGTATGAATCAATGATGTTAAGGGTACAATGAACTGAAGAGTATGATTCACTTAACTCTCTGTATCTGGGTTCCAAAAAACAAAAATAGACATAATAAAATGAGGCGGTGGGATCAAAGTAAGGCCATATCCAGCTACCTCAAGCCCATCTAGATAGGAAGTGTTGGCTGGATAGGTGGGGTAGGGGAGTTAGGACAGTTTTAAATCATGGCAGCAAATACTTTGACACCTGACATCCCTTTCACTGAGAATGAAAATTTAGGCTTCCTCCTCTTGAAATGAGGTTGGCTTTTGGCGTCTGTTTTGACCAATAATGTATAGCAGAACTGACACTCTATGACTTTCAAAACTAGGCCAAAAAAAAAACAAAAGTTGTATTGAGCTAACTGGTGTGATGGTCACTCTGGAGGCCACGAGCCACCACATAAGGCAGCCTGACAGCCCTGAGGCCACCGTGCTGTAAGGAAGCCCAGACTAGCCTGCATGGAGAGACAATGAGGCAACAGAGATTCTGGGCAGCCCCCAGCCATGCCAGTCCCCACCTGACTGCCCCAAATCAGGAGGTTCCTGAATTCTTGACCCTCCAAAATTGAAAGTGAGAAAAAAAGGTATTTGCTGTTGTGGGCCACTTGGTCTTGGGATGATTCGTTAACACGGAATTTGAGATCTGCCAAAGGAACTGTGTGCAGCAGGGTCTGATGGAGTACTAGGAGCAGGATGCTCTCCAAAATGAAGGGATGACCTGAGCAGGGACAGCAGCACTGCTCTGCTTTCAAGGCAACAAAGCTCTGAGACTGTCCCCAAGACACCACACACGTTTGGCAGACACTCTTCAGTCCATGAAGCTGGGCGCCTCACCCTGGAATCCAAAACACTTGCCAAGGGATCAGCTCAGCTCCAGCCCAAACTTGAATCTCCCAGAACAGACCCATGACCTTGAGATGGTACTGCTAGTCAACAAGCCAAGTGCAGAAGTCTCAGAGAGTGGGGTGCTACTGTGAGCCATGAGACTGGCATCAGATGCCACTCCAGTTGCCTGGAAAACTGCTGCCAGACCAGTGGCACGTGCATAACTTCCAAGCCTGCCCATAATAATCTTCCCTGGCATTCCAGGGACACCACAGGGCCCAGAGCAAACTTCCTTGTGGTCCCCTTCCCTCTCTCTCTGCAGCTCACCAGCATACAGATGAGCACTGGGCACCTTGCCCAAACTCCTCCCTGCTGTCTTGGGCTGATCCTTCTATGCTTGATAACTTTGCTCCCAATGTGACCTGCTTTCTAGAATCCATCACTCTCACCTTTTACCCCACCCCCACAGGAATCTGTTGAGAGCACATGGCCCCCACTTAGCCAGCCAAGACCTTTCCCCTGGAAAGAGTCTGCTCCAGAGTCAGACCTCCAGCAACCTCACCAGATTCCCCTCTAGCCATGCCTGAAGTTAGCTTACCCTGAACCACACACAGGTGAGCCACACGTAAGTTAAGACAGGTGTAGCCTCTGGGGCTGGGATGATCCACTAGGGATATGCTGCAAGGCTCAGCTGAGCCCCCTCTTCTGCAAGTCATCTTCCCCACCCACTGTGATGACAAAGTTACTTAGGTAACTTAGCTTGAGCTAACCTGAATTGGGGCTAGGTCCTTTGCAACCACAAAGGCCTAATAGGCTTGCTCTGTGTCCAAAGCTTATACCTGGGTGGGCTGTCACTTTTGCCAGATTCCTAAGTCTATCTATGTCCTTTCCATCATACTAGTGACAGTAAGTTTCAACTTTTATGCCAATTGGTTGATAACACTGTCCAAAATGTTGTACTTAAATGATTCTGAGACTTCTCTGAGCACTGAGCACTACAGGAAAGCCTATCATGATAGAATGGCAGTGCCTACCACGGACACCAAGGGTAGGAAACAGTATCACACAGGCTACATGTGCACCACCCCAGATGATCCCAGATGAGCATTCCAGGTCTTCTTTAGGCGCAGCTGGTCAGCTGCCTTCTTGTCCATAACAGCTGCGCCCTGCACTACTGCCATCTGGTCCCTGTGGCATGATAGCCACGTCTCCCTCCCCGGGGCCTGGAATATTGCCTCTTTGCTCTACAAAATTCATGGCCATATTCTCAACAGGATGCTGACTCTCAACTCACCATATATTCCTTTCACCCGGGCCCTCCTCCCTGCACTCCCAGGGGCGAAATACATTCACTAGAACATCAGATTCGTGAACAATCTGGCAATTTCCACAACAAGAAGCTTCATCTCCCATAGAGCTTATTCCTGTCCCCCACCCCACACACTCTGACCATGTGGATCTGAAGCATAAAGCAAGGAAGATCCCAATAAGGCTGCAGGACCTTAACCGTTCTTGTAAGACCCAGAGGAAAAAATGAAGCAGTTTAAACTGTTTTGAATAACCAGCAAGCGTGAGTATCTCCATTTCACACATAAGGAAACAAAAGAACGTATGACTCATTAAAGGTCACAAAGTGAGACAATGGAAGATTTCTGCAGCAAGCACGGGACTCCGAGTTAACTGCTAGACTACACTCCCGCCTCCTCCGATGGCGCTCACACACACTTCACATGCATACACACGTGTGTGCTCACATTCACGATGACGAACAAAGCTCGTGCTACTGTTTCTTGTGTGTGTGCTACTGGGTTTTTATGCACCTTGAGATGGAAGGAGGGCTGCATTTTGCCCAAGAACATCCTTTATTTTTAATACGATCATCGTGTGACAGCATCCACTACACTAGCAGCCCCTGTGGTGACCCTTAGGGCACCTCTGGGGTGAATAGAGTGGAGGGTGTCCCTGTTTCTCTTTGCACATGGGAATGACTGAGAGCAAGTCCTCATCTCCTGTCTTATTTGGGTCACCAGAGAAGGCTGGAACTCTAATTTTGCTCTGTTCAGTCTGTGGTATATAATTTTTCCTTCCTAGATCCTCAGTTTGGCAATGACAAAATTTAATAGACTCTATTTTAGTTCGTAGACCGACTTCTTTTCCCTCACATACATAACAGCAGCCTTGTCACCCCATGGTCAGCCATCCCAGACTGCGATTCCCTGCTCATTACAAGCCCCCACACCTGTCACTTCCCCTAAGCTTACTGTCTCCAGACCCACCAACCATTACCCTTAGTCCCCTTCTCATATAGGCTGCCAGGTCCCCAAAACAAGAAGTCTTGGGAGTTAGGACTTGGTAAGAGGACAGGAAGCACCAGGCCAGAGAACACACCATTGCCAGGAAGGCTGTGTGCAGGGTGCAGTCCGTGCACCTGAGCATGAGACAGGCTTGCAATGAGCGGAATGGCAGCTGCCTACAAAGGGCCAAGGGATCGTTCTGCAAACCACGTCTTAGTAGGCTGACTTTTGAGCTCCCTCCCAACTCCATGGGAGACCTTATTTATATTGTGAACCGTTCCCAGAGCACAAGGACCTCTCTGGAGCACACCATCTGGAGAAAGCTCATATGAATAGACCCGTGGGGAAAAATGAAATGTCAACCTCTCCCTAGCTAGAGGACAAGAAAACAACCTTCAGTATTTTAGTCCTGGCAGCTCCAAGCATCAGTACAGCCCTGTGGCCTGAGTAAAGGCCCTGCCACAGGAAACCAGAGCCACACATGGGCGAGACAGTGTGCCTCTTGGGGGTGGCCTCCAGGTGAGCTGTACTGCAAGGCCCAGATGAGCCTCCCTTTCACCAAGTCAGTTTCTCCACCCACTGTGATGGTTCCCCACCCAGACCTAAAGTTCTAAGAGTATCTCCAGGTTGCCCACAACAAGGTGGCACAACTACCCCAAAAGCCCAGGAATGGAAAACCTCCATTTCTGGCTCAATGTTTTTGAATCCAGAGTAGTGCCATGAAGGCAGGGCAGGCAGCATTGTGTCCCTGATGGCTTTTGTTAACACAAAATAACCACCCGATGCAAAGAGACCAATTTTCAAATTATAAAGCTGATTCAAAGCTCTGTCTCCTGGCTGCCAGCTGAAAAGATGCCACCATTTAAGTCTGCTCTGGCTCTGCCCAACCGGGCTATTTCCATGGATGCTCTCACTCCTGAACGAACCCAGAGCAGCCACTTAGCAGATCCAGCCACACAAAAGCAGGTAGGTACCACAACAGGGATCTCATCCCTGGATATGAGAAAATGACTCGCCTCCTTCTGCACACAGGTGAGACCACTTCTCAGATGCACCAGAATGAAGCCAAAGCCCCGGCACAGACTGGTCAGCTCCATGCCACTCTGGTGAGGAATCTGAGTCTGAGTCAGCAGACAGTGGCTTTGGCTTCCTTGGTGTCCCCTGTGAGTAAGAGTTGGAGCTGGGGATGTGGAAGGTGCTCAGAGGGGAAAACAATTA